AACTCTCATTTTCAGGCTTATACACGAACCGGTCGCACGCATGGCCGGACTTACCACTGAGCAGCTCTTGATCATCCGCCTAGCTCCCCCTTTTTTCGCGTCGCAAGGCCTCGATTTTGCTTCAACCCTTGGCCCCGACCTCGTAGCCGCCATGATATTCACAGATTGGGTCACAGTGAATATCCATGTCCCCGACGTCGTATTTGATGCGCTCAGGCCATTTTTAAATGACTCGCGGCTCGTAGAAGCAACCGTAACTGCTGTGGGATATAATGGTGGGAGTAGGCTTGTCGTCGCTCTAAACGTGGACGATAAGATGGATGTACCCGTACCGATTCCTGTTTAGATCTTATTTACTATACATCTTCAGCCATGCGTCTGCTTCGACCCTATGGAAATCAAACGTTGCCTCGCCCTGGGTTCGATGAATGTATTTCTAGAATTAACGAAAGGAGCTTACATATTTACGGCCAAAAATCACCAACGATTCCCGATGTAGTTGGCTAGCCTCAGAAAGGTCGTAGGGCTGTATTTAACAGACACGTCGACATCGCGATACAGGAGGCGCTGGACATCGGGAATGCGCTCCGACACGTCAGTCTTGAACTCGAGCTCGAGCCGCCGCAATTTCGTTCCGCAATGTGCGCGCTTGTCGATGAATTCCATCCAGATTCCATCATCAAAACGCAGAGATGTCTGGATACTGAGTTCCTGCAAGTCCAGGCAAACGTCTGTCGCCAGCGTATCAGGATCGGGAGTGAGAAGATGCAGGAGGTCAATGGTGTTGGCGCCGTCCCTGGACCTCCACAAACAAATGGCGCGGAGGCTCGTGAGGGAAGGGAACCGCCGGAGCGTGTTTAGAAGGCAATCCCTCGTGAATGTCTGAGGAACAATTCCAATGCTTGAGATCGAAGGTGAACGTTCGGCGAGGTGGGCGAGGAACGCGATGTCAGAGTCGTGGGTCATGAGCCTCCTGCTACCAGTATCGCTCGGGGGCATCTGGAAATGACACAAATTTGGCATATCCAAACGCTCCACCAAATCTGCGACATGGTTGAAAGAAACAAAACGGTGGCCCATGAAGCTCAATGATTGGAGAAAGGGTAAAGATAGAGATGGTGCGGATTGCAATTGCCCGGGGTCTAAGTCCAGGTGGAATTGGACCGATACAAGATGGGTACAGCCGCGGAGTAGTCGATATGCTGTGTCGACAGATAGGCCTCCGGTCGCGCTATTGTTGTCTTTGTAATCGAGAATGAGGTGGGTAAGGTGGGCCCAAGTAAATGGTGCGCGAGGAACAAGATCATTATGTCGAGCTGCATGGATTGTGATAGTCTTTACACTGCGCAATAATTTCGAGGACAGAACCTGCGTTTTGTCGGAGGTGTGGTCTGTAAATGCCATTTTGACCTCCGTCAGCAACGGGGCATCGACCTCCGCCAACACTTGTAGGAAGTCCGACACGCGTATGTCGGAGACATCCAACTTGTGCCAACGAGCTGAGAATTGGCAAGACACCTCCAGAACTGAATTCGGCCATTTGCATGCGAGCGAAATGGAGAGCGGGATGGAGGCCGACCGCTCCAACCAATCAACAACCACCCCATCATGTCCACCGAAGTTCGCGGGGACAGTCAGAGAGGCCCACAGTCTGGGCATGGATAGCGCCAGAGTCCGCCATGGGCTGCAAATGCGGCATAACAGCAGCGGTGCTTCGGTGGTGCGCATAGTAGCATTACGGTCTGTCGGAAGACAGGCCTGAAAGATCTCTTGGAAGAGATCTAAAGGGAGGCGGCGCGGATGACATATCAGGGCTGTGTGGGAGCGGATGTAGTCTTTGACCTGTTCGCGGTGGGCGACGAGATTGCGGATGAGCACGTCGAGGCGCGCGAGGGCTGCCTCGTGAGCTACGAGGTGTGCGCGGATGCGATCGGCCTCTTCTTCGGTGGGGACATAGTTTGTGCCGAGATATTTTCTGAACGGGGATTGCATGGACTGTAGATGCTGGTGGGACTGTAGGTGCCAAAAGACGAGAAGGCTGCCACGTGGCTATCGGAACAGTGAGCGAATTGACCCGAGGTTGAGGACATTTAGACCTAAGTAAGTAAAACGGAGAATCGATATCGTCAGAAAATGGCCAGCCCTGAAAGAGCCTATCATAATAAATCGATTGATGACTGAACCGTATATTATTTTCTTGGTATTTTTATCCATCTCCGAGTTCCCCGATCATTGATCATATGGAGGCCGTAGCCAAACAAATACGTCTCAGTTCTTGCATTCGCAGTTCTGAGACGTGAGTCCTATCATTTATTCATCCTACCTACTTACTTACAGTATAATAGTTCCGTTTGTTCCTAGGTATATTAACTGAGTTCTTGCATTCGCAGTTCTGAGACTTCCGTTTGTTCTAGTCTCTCTCGACAGATGCTTTATCATACCCAGCTCGTTCCTCGCTTGATAAAGTCTGTTGGTTACCGCGCCTGATACCCGGTATCCTGCGTTATTATGTAAGCTTCCATTTCGGGCGACGCGCCGGAGACGCGACTTCAACGCGCCGAGGCGCAGACTGGAAACTGGCAAGAATTCTGATGACGCAAAGTTGGACTAAAGTAGCTCCAATGCTCACATAGCCTTTTTCAGCATGCCCCGCGCTGTTGAAGTCCTGGCGTAAATATTTTTATCCAATTTATGTCCCTCCTCCCAGAAAACATCATATTGGGCCTGGCACGGGGACTTGACCATACATAATAGCTATTATAGTGGGTCCACATGTCTCCGAGCATCAACAGCACAATTCCAGCGAAGAGAAGAAGGGAAACGCGTCTCGACGCGTCGCCCAAAAAGGAAGCTTACATAATAACGCAGGATACCGGTTATCAGGCGCGGTAACCAAAAGACTACGTTTGTTCCTAGTCAAACTTCACTCGGCGATCTGCGCTTCACAATCAAAAGGAAAGACATCTGTTTCCAGCGCCTCTGACAGAGAGCAACGTATCCATTGCCGAAACACCGACATTGGCGAAGTCGAGGGCAAGGAGTTGGGCCTGCAAGTGGGTGTCTCCGGCTTTCGTTGGTCTCATGTTGAAACCGCTCGCAGTATTCACTCCACTTCAAGTTCCATGTCGAGTTTCCCGGCACTGGGCAGTGGAGATGACCCTCAGTTTGACGCTCCTATTGGTGGTGCGCAATGCATTGGGCCATCATTTTGTTCCCATGCATCACGTGCAGTGATCTCCGCCATTTCAACTGACCCAAATCCCGGGGCACATTTATTGGCTGCCCCTGATGTGGTACACAGTGGATTCAAACACGAAAATTTTAATAATAACCACACCTGTGTTTTGTTCAGACCAAATTTGCAAATTTGAGGAACTATCTTGTAAAATCAAGAAATCATCAGAAGAATCGTGTGTTTCCAGGGCTAATGTCCGTATCTGACGATTTTTCTCTGAACAAAACACAGATCTGCATCATGAAAACATTTTTTGTCAATTGAGTTGTGGCAAAAGATGCCTGTGAAAGCCGGAAAATGTGCGCGCGGGGGCAACGTGCCTACATTTGCCCATGTTTGAGCCGAAGTGATCTAGCGGGTATCTGTCCAGTGCACCTCTCAAGAGACTCCTGGACGGCCGAAAATCTGTCGAATATGATATGGTAATGCTCAAGATACCCAGGAAATATTCTGGGAATTTCCTTCCTGATTTTGGCCCCAACCAGATATCCGGAAGATGGCTTGGCATGCACGAGTCGTGTGTTCGGCCTGCTCTGGCGGTCTCAATTCAGAAGGAAAATATTCGCGAAAGTAGATAGCCTCTAGTGCGGAAACATAATGCATTTTGAGTATTTTTGCTTGAGCAAAGGTGCAGAATTGAAGCCAGGGCAGCTTGAACAAGTGTGGGTCAGTTTTGTTTGATCGCGTCCCGAGTGAAGTCGCACGTGATCGTCACGGCGGATCATTCGGGATTGCCCACCACCACGAGTCCTATCGCTATTCATTTTGCGCATTGGTAATCAACTTGATTAGGCATGTGCAGGGGCTGGAATGACCGATGGTGCAAGTATCGGATGGGGGGGAGGTATACTAAACCGTCTGACCAGTTTAGTCAGAAAACCAAGTCTTGTAGCACCAGTATTTCGACTGAGTATGTCAATATCGAGCAGAGCAGGCCATAATTTCGTTACGCTAATGTATCAGAATTATATGCTTCTCCGCTTCCTGAATGAATGCATCGAGATATCGCTTGATTTGGGGAAGAGCTTCCTCAACCGTCTTTCCCGGCGGCACCAGCCGTACAGCACGGACGAGACCATCTTGGAGTTGGGATGTTGATATGTGCATGGGAAGTAAGAGACTTCGGAGTCTGTCGCCCTCAGATTAACGCGAGATGGACTTCGATACGCCCGCCACTGCGCGCGGCTCGTGAGGTTAATGTGGGAAGACACACTTCCCAGTCGGGCACCAGCCGCAAAGACTTCAGCGGCTGGACGTTAATCTGGACGCCCACAGGGCCGGTGTATACGAAAATGGTAACTAGACCTTCGCCCGGGTACCGGTGCATGTTGATGACCTGCTGGCGGCACACATGGGACATTCTGAAGAAATAATCCTGAGTGAAGAGGGCACGTAAGAACGCTTTCCCGCGCATCGTCAGAGTTTCGGGACACTCTGTAACAAGAGATTTAAGTAGAGGAAGACGCACTCAAGATAGAGCGCTTACGGATTCGGGTTGATCGCAGTTCTCGGCATTGTACCAATCGATCATACTGAACAGAATATCGCCTTCCCGTGTCTTGTTAATCTCCTGAATCAAATGATATTTTCTATTTATGTTTGGTTTTGGGGGGGATTATGGAAAATCTCGAGGGAATCAAGGCCGACTCACGTTAGGTTGTTCAGTTGTCCGCTGGTACGGTTGCCAGAAATGATGTGAGGGAAACAAGTGACGGAAGCTAGAATCGGGGCTAGAGATACTGCAGCGCGCTGAACCATGCTTGTCGGTTCGATGGTGTAGTTGGTTTATCACTTCTGTCTAACACTTTGTGTGGAACACAGGCGGTCCTCGGTTCGAGCCCGGGTCGAATCAATTTTGCTTCGGCAGCCCACTCGTTATCGATTATCGATGGTTCAACGCGCATGTTGTTTTGAACGCAGCCCGCTTGATAGCTGCCGCCCGTAGTAGGACCCCTGATTTTCCCTTTGAAGGCTAGGTCCGGTGTCGGACAAAATTTTTGAGATTTGGACCTCAAACCTAGGTCCTGAACGGACTAAAATCGATGCTCGAGGGTCGAAATGCCAGGTACTGTCCGGACAAAATTCGGGCGGGCGAAGTTTTTTTTTGGGTCAGGAGTGGGCGGAAAGCGGGTTTGTTTTCGCTGCAGATGGGCCGCAGATGCGTCAAATGCGGTTAGAACAGCATGAAACGCGTGGGGAAGAAAATTTGACCATTTTTAGGTGCGTGGGAGCCAGAAATTACCCTTTTTGGGACGATTGGTCAGCGGAGGCTAGGCCCTGTCCGGACAAAAACCGCCCAAAATCGGCCAAAATGTGTCCGGACAAAAATTGGGAGATTTGGGATGTTCGGGACCTAGCCTTCAAAAGGAAAATCAGGGGTCCTCCCGTAGTACAGAGACGAGGCGGTCGTGGGCGACGGAGACCAAAAGACAAATAATTACCCCATTTGGGCTCGTATCTTATGTAAGCGGACGAGTGGTCATTTTGGGACAGGAATCAAGACAGGAATGCCCACTGCAGGGACCAGTGAGACAGTCTCGACCGCTCTTCAATCGCCAATCAATCACTAGCCTGCCGCGCCGTAACGTTGATTTGATCAGTTTCATAGTGGGGCGGAGTCCGGGCGGTGATTTGGCGGAATGATGTTCCTCAATGGGTGGCAATAGAAAATCTCCCTCCCTCCCTAACCCTCCGTGTCAACTAGCTTTATTTTCCCCGTAAATCCCTTTGCCCAGCGGCGCCAGATTTTCACCGAGCTGGTCTCAGGCTGAACATTGACCAATGCTTTGCAATCCCGGGAAACGCGGTAATCATAGGCACCCAAATGGACTGAGCATAACTAAGCAAAAGTGCGCCAGCAATTCTGCGATGTCATCATCGCAAATACTGAAAAGCGTAGGAACGCGACTTGGCCAGCATCTATAAGCCATTCAATAACGATTTTCAATCCAAGTCCGGAATCACGGAAATCCTGCGGACCCAGTATATAGTCTTGGAGCGTAACCTTCACTCAAAAACCTAACCAGTACCAACCTAAAAGCAAAAGCCAGAATCAAAAGCGATTCAAATATCATCAAATGTCCTCAACGAATATCTTCATAACGGGCGCGACAGGTGCGACTTGGGCGGAATTCATCTCCCGGGAGCTGAACGTTTTCCCAGGATATTTGGGTGGAACGCTAATCAGTGCCCTCCTCGATCGCAAGGACTCTGCCTCTTTCGATATCACTGCCCTCGTGCGTTCAGCTGAAAAGGCAGAGAAACTCAAGAATGCGACTGGGATAAACATCGCTATGGGATCGCACTCGGATCTCGAACTCATCGAGACTCTCGCATCCAAAGCCGACGTAATCCTTTCGATGGTATGTGCACCTACAAGACTATCACAGTGGCTTCGAGCCTGACCTCATTTTACTCGACAGGGTGATTGCGATGACCTTGAGCTTGCCAAGGCCCAACTTAGAGGAGCGAAGAGGAGGTACGAAGCTACCGGGACACTTTCTGTATTCATACACGCAGTTCGTGTTCACTCTTCTGCTCTGGAAGACAGACTCTAACAGTTTGAGTAGTCTGGCGTGGGTGCGTAGAGTTGACCAAGACGACAGCCGGAATGCTCTAACTATTGACATTAGGATGTCTTGCTGACGACGCGTTCGGAATGTACGGCCCCAAGGATCTCATTGGTGATATCGACACCGAGACGATAGCCGCCTTGCCCATTGACCAGCCTCATCGAAGCGTCGACGTGGAAATCGTTAAGGCCGACAAGCAGGGTATGGCCTCCCCCGCTTTAACTTTGTAATATCTCACAGACGGAACAGGCTACGTCAAGACCTACATTGTCGCGCCAGGGACGATCTATGGAACAGCTACCGGTAAAGTCGCCGATGCAGGAGCACAAAACACGTACAATAAGATGATGGATGACCTCTGCCTCGCTGGATTCCTTCGCAAAGAGGCGTTCATATTTGGAGAGGGCAAGAACGAGTGGGCGCATGTCGAGATTGGCGAACGTGAGTCAATGCCTTTACCACTTTGCCGCTAAAGCCAACCACAAGCAGTGGTGGATCTGATCATGTTACTTTACGACGCGATCGTCGCAAAGCCCGAAGAGACTGCTCACGGAACAGAGGGCTATTACTTTGCAGAAAACGGAGCATATGCCCTGTTCGAGCTCGCCGACGTCTTGCAGAAGGTGCTGGTCGAGACCGGCCATGTCAAGGCCGGATCGAAGGGCCCGACGCATTTCTCGACCGAGGAGCTGAAACTTTGGAGCCCGGTACGTTGTATTCAGCAGTGTCTCCTGTATCGCCGACTGAAGGACGTTGAAAAGGTCCATATACGCATGCTTGGTGGTAATGTGCGCTGCAAGTCCTCGCGGAGCCGGTCCCTTGGATGGAATCCAGTTAAAACTCACTGCTTGGAGACCGTTTACGAGCAGCTTATGAAATTTGGGTCCAAGCTGCCCCTGGCACTGTGAAAGCCGCGATCATACGCTGAGGGTCGAGGGCTAGTGGGGCTAGTCTTTTCATAGTCACTAGGTCGTCAAGTAGCTCCGAATTCTAGACTCTTGTAAATGCCCAGTCTTTCTGAATGCAACACATGTTGCAAGTCCATCCGAATTCATGGGATTGTTGGCTTAATTAAATATGTGGCGTGAATCCATTAGGGCGCATGAATCCTCCAACCAATTTCCGGAAACAGGGACCAGGAAGATAGCCAGGAACCGGCGGGTTGTCGATGCCGAGCAGCCCGAGCTAAGATTGCTTCGGAATAAAATGCAGGTAGCGCTCTTCTAGAGGCGCGCCGTAATGCTTACGGGTGGGGAGAGCTGGAATACCAAGTTCCATTCTCTCCGTGTTCTTCCCTTGAGAACATTAATTATCGCGTGGTTGCAAAGCCGAGGTACGGAACAATGTAGTCCGTTTTTAAGTGATGGGTCCCGATTGCGGTTGAGCCTTATTACATAATCACGTTTTGAGGCCCTTGCCCCCGCTCTTAAATCTTGGGAATATTCACGTCGTAAAGGAAAAGATGTTTAATGTGTGCCCAAATATTTCCATATTTTTGCGATGCCATGGGACAAAGCTATTGACGAGTCAAATTGATGGGTTTTGGCCCGTTGATGTCCATCACATTGAAGGATGAGCCCCTGCATGTTGAGATTCAAGTCTGAAGCGGTTGCTTATTGAACCGTATACTATTTTCTTGGTATTTTTATCCATATCCGAGTTCCCCGATCATTGATTATATAGAGGCTGTAGCCAAACAAATACGTCTCAGTTCTTGCATTTGCAGTTCTGAGACGTGAGTCTTATCTCGTATCCATCCTACCTATTTACTTACAGTATAATAGCTTCGTTTGTTCCTAGGTATATTAATTTGGTTCTTGCATTTGCAGTTCTGAGACCTTCGTTTGTTCCTAGTCAAAACTTCACTCGGCGATCTGCGCTTTACAGGTTATGGGCCCCGCCACCGATAGAGACGATTCAAGTCTCAAGACCGCACTCCCGATCCTAGAGGATGATTCCTCCAATTGGATTGGCTGGTCTGAGCAGATCACGACCTACGCCAAGTCCAAAGGCTTGGGTCGGCACATCTCTGGTACCGCGCGTAAACCCGCCGATCTCGTGCAAAATGCTGCTGGCGACACTGTCATTCAAAACACAAATACACCGTTGACCGACGAGCAGATAGAAGCCCACGAGAGGAAGCAGGAAGACTTTGAAACGAAAGAAGCGAAATTCCGACACATCATCTATTCGACTGTCAGCGCCACTCGCTTTAATCAAGTAAAGGGCGAACCCACTGCTAGCACACTCTGGACAAAGCTTTGTCAGCTCAACCAGGACAGAGGGGACATGGTTCAAATGAACACCCTCGTCAAGTTGCAGCAGATGCGGTGTGGCGACGACGATGATATGCGCAAGCACCTTACGGAAATGTCAAATCTCAACGACACCCTAACCCGAATGGGTGCGCCGTTAAGCGACGTCCAATTCTGCGCATATCTCCGCGCTTCTGTCCCCGAGAACTATCGTTCCCTCCTTACCACCATCAGCACCACCGCACGTATGTCAGTCCCGCCGCAAGTTGTCACGAGCGCAACTATAATCTGCGAGCTCGAAAATGAGTACACGGTGCGCAACGTACACAAAGACGTCGACAAAATCGACAATTCGGCCATGTCCGCGGCGGCGAAGGGTAAAAAGAAGGAGAAAGAAAAGAAGGACAGTGGTGGGCGGAAGAAATGCACAAATTGCAAAGGTGTCGGACACACCAAAGAGGGTTGCTATAGGCCGGGCGGAGGCGACGAAGGCAATGCGCCAGAGTGGTGGAAGCTCCGGGAGAAGGAAAAGCAGGCCGCCAAAGACAAAAAGGACGGCAAGGGCAAGACAGCGGCGACCGCGGACGACGATGCCAACTATGCATTTGTCATCGGGGCGGACGAAGACGACGATCACGAAAATGTCGCGCTCGCCATATCCCCGAATTACGCGACGAAGCCGACGCCCACGCCGCTAACGTTGCCCGCAGTTGCGACATGATTGTCGACAGCGGCGCCTCCCGCCACTTCTCTCCTGATCGCGACAATTTCATCAATTTTGTCGATATACCTCCGGTCCCGATCCGAGCAGCCGATGGCCGTAGTTTCAGCGCCACGGGTAAGGGTGATTACAAAACTCTACTCCCTATAGGCGATAAGAAACCTACGCGCGCGATACTGCGAAACACCTATTTTGCCCCAAATATGGCATTTACTCTCATCTCCGTCAGTGCGCTCGATCGCGCCGGATATTCGCTCGATGTTGAAGGCTCTAATTGCATCATTCGCGCCCCCAGACCTACGCG